ATGGCAGCCCCCACGCTGCGGGGTTTGTCTTGTTTATCCAGAGCTTTAGGATGGTGGTCTGGGCAGCCAGTCCTGGTAACTCAGTCCACAGTTGTAGTTCCAGTGAGATCTAAACAACGTTTCACACAACCTACTTATGACCCAAATACAAATCAGAAAAGGAGTTTATAGAACATGCCCGGAAAGCAGGACTGGTCATTCCTCCGGAACGTTTGGAGCATCCCCTACACCTGGCCTGTACAGCTGGCATCTTTGATGCCCATGTTCCTCTAGAGGGTGATGCTCACTTGTCCTCTCTCTTGAAGGAAGGACTGGCACAGAGAAGTGAGTGGTTGAAGAAGAAGGTGACATCACAATTGTCAGTCCGGAAGATAAGAGAACATGATCCGAATTTCAAAATAAAGGACTTCCCTGAAAAAGCTAAGGATATTTTTATTGAAGCCCACTTTTGTCTAAACAACTCAGACCATGACTGACTTCATACCTTGGACATGGTCGGGCACATCAGATATAAGAATGTCCACTGGAGCTTCATGGAGTCTTTAGAACCACCTCAGGTGGCTCAGGTTCACTGTTCAAGTCTGATGAACCAGGGCAACATATATGGCCAGCTCACCATCTGCACGCACACCCAGCAGACTCTGGCCATCTATGACCAGTTTGGCTGGTTGATGTATGGACAGGAAGGTGTGCCCAGGGATGTCCTGGAGTATGTTGTGTTTGAAAAGCACCTGGTAGGGGCGCCTGGGTGGCGCAGTCGGTTAAACGTCCGACTTCAGCCAGGTGACGATCTCGCGGTCCGTGAGTTCGGGCCCCGCGTCGGGCTCTGGGCTGATGGCTCAGAGCCTGGAGCCTGTTTCCGATTCTGTGTCTCCCTCTCTCTCTGCCCCTCGCCCGTTCGTGCTCTGTCTCTCTCTGTCCCAAAAATGAATAAACGTTGAAAAAAAAAATTTTTTTTTAAAAACGAAAAGCACCTGGTAAATCCCTATGGGAGCTAGAGAATGCATGGCAAGGGTCATGCCCCCATGGGCACCCCCTAAACATGAGTACATCCTTAAGATGGTGATGATCCCTGGGCCCCAGCTGAAACCCGGAGAAGACTGTGAGGAGCCACAAGGAGAGGCCCAAAACTTCAGCAACCCTGATGGCAAAAATGACTCCTGGGGTGAAACGTGGCTGATGACATGGCCAGAAGCTGTGGAGTCTGGGAATGTGCAGTCAGTCATCTCTTCATCAAGCTGTAGAAAGATCTACCTTTGTCCTCTCCTGTCCTGCTTGGGTGTTTTCAGCTGTCTCCTTGGCAACCACGGCTGATGGCTGGGCCCAGGTGGGTGGCTGATATGCACAGCCACGAACCTTCTTCTTCCTTTTTAAACTGTGTGTCTAGCAGCTGAGTCTCAACGAGAGTATGTTTGGATACCTGTTTTTCCTGCAGCAGAGACCATCAGGAAGAGACTGGCAGAATTTTCTTTTTAATTACAAGGCAGGCATCAGAATTTGAAATAAAACACTGTCAGGGTGTTGGACAAAAGAAAAAAAGAATAAACCTAAAAGAGCTCTCAAAACCCAAGCCCTGGAGACACACACTTGATTCCACTGGTTATAGGATCTCCTGGCGCTTCAGTTAGACTTGACAGACGGAAAGTGAACAGGATGTGGGGACAAAGGGAGATGAATGCCTGAGGCACATGAAATCGTAGTGATGATAAACTGAGGAGGGGGTCACTCAGCCCCTGCACTCAAGATCCTGTGAAGGGTGAACCCTGCGAGGGCACAGCCAGCTGTGGCCCCTGGATGTGGAAACGCAGCCTGAAACCTTATCGGTGCGGATGGTGCTGTGGGGACTCTGGCTGTGCACTGGCATCCTGGTTCATCTAGACACCAAGGTCTCAGCCCCGCTCTCGTCAAAAGGATGCACAAAAGCTTTGGGGCAGGAGGTAAAGATCAGCTCCCTGAGGTCTCTTTGGCGGACAGGCCCACAGGGCAGACCATGAGGCATTCTGACACAAGAGCCCATCTGAGGAAGAAGCGGGACCCAACCCCCCCAGAGATGTGGCCCGATAGGCCGGACCTCTGGCTCTGCTGCCTCGCGGTGTCCGCCCCGCCCCGCCCCGCCCTGACGGACACGGACCTCTCTCGGCCAAGGGGTCCAGGAGCCCAGACCAGAGCTCATCCTATGGGTCTAGTGGAATCTTCCCAATAATCCGGGTGCCAGCAGGCTGCTCCACAAGGGTGGGAGGCAGGCTGCTGCTGGGACACTGTCACACAGCTGACCTCCGAAAGCATGCCTGGAAATTAGCACTCCTCCCCTGTTTCTGCCAGCTCGACCTGCCCTGAACCCAGAAAACAGTGTGATTTCCATATTGGGAAATTCATCCTCAGATGACACGTAGACAGGGGCTTTCATGGATGGCTCTGAGGAGGTTCACAGGCCCTTGGGTCTGACGTTTATACAATTTTGACAACTCTTTATTAAAAAAAATGTATAAAAAATTATGAATACAGGGGCATCTGGGTGGCTCAGTCAATTGAACGTCCGACTCTTGGTTTTGGCTCAGGTCATGACCTTGAAGTTTGTGAGATGGAGCCCCAGGTCAGTCTCTTCACTGACAGTGCAGAGCCTGCTTGGGATTCTCTCTCTCTCTGCCCCTCCCCTGCTCACATTCTCTCTCAAAATAAGTAAACATTAAAAAAAAAGAAAAAACATGAGTACAAAATTAAGTACAAAAGTAGGTATTCTATTTATTTTTTTATCTTGAGAGAGAGAAGGAGCAAACAGGGGAGGGGCAGAGAGAGGGGGAGAGAATCCCAAGCAGACGCCCTACTCAGCACAGAACCTGACACGGGGCTCGATCCCACAACCCTGGGATCATGACCTTAGCCGAAGTCAAGAGTTAGACGCTCAGCTCACTGAGCCCCCCAGGCACCCCAGAAAAGCAGGTATTATAGAAAGCAACAGGAACAGAGTTTAAAAAGCTGCAAGTACTACACTAAAGCCAGGAGACATTGAAATACTGTGTGTGCGCTAAGCACCCACCACACCTCTGCAATATGCATCCTGCGGGTCAGCCCTGGCCACACGCTCCCAGGAGTAGCCTCTCGGGATGGCCACCCTCCTTGCCCCGAGACTCTGGCAGTGCCCGGCAGCCAGGGAGGCTGCCCCACCCTCTCAGGACAGCTCTGGTGGTCACTGTCCACCAGACTTTACGGAGAGACTGAGAACAGCTGTCACACAGCACCTGTCAAAGAGAAGCAGACCTCCAGCTACTCCTGCCTTTATTTGGAAGCTCTGTGCTATTCTCTATTGAACAAAATCAAGAAAAAAAACTGCTGTTTTAAGAAACAACATTTGGGGGCACCTGGGTGGCTCAGTCAGTTAAGCATCCAACTTTTTTTTTTTTT